TAAAGCATCAGACTGAACACATACAATCTGTCATCAACAAACAGATAAAAACAGCAACCTGTGAAAAAACTAATGGACAAATGTGTGACAAATGTTCGATTTTGATAAAAACGTAATATCGATTGGCGAGAATTCAGAACTTCATTCTTCAGCTCAGTTATTTTTCAGTCTTAACGGTTTTTTTTTGTATTTTTTGTTTGTTATATTTGTTTATTCTGAAAAGGACTTTGTGTGAGTATTCCGCAATTTTCAGAACTAAATATTAACGAATTCCTTTCGGCTACTGATTAACATAAAAGGAAAAAAAACTATAAATAGACAATACCTGAAATCGAGGCTTAAATAACATCCTGAAGACAGCTGTACTATTATACCGTCATATTAATACTTAAAACACAGATGAACATCATACTTTCAAAAAAAGATAAAGCTCGTCTGAAATACTGAATAATGAAAGCGCTCTACGGTGTTGGTTACACGTGTTACGGTGTTGGTTTCAGGTGTTATGGTGTTGGTTGGTTGCACGTGTTATGGTGTTGGTTGCACGTGTTATGGTGTTGGTTGCACGTGTTATGGTGTTGGTTGGTTGCACGTGTTATGGTGTTGGTTGGTTGCACGTGTTATGGTGTTGGTTGCACGTGTTATGGTGTTGGTTGGTTGCACGTGTTATGGTGTTGGTTGCACGTGTTATGGTGTTGGTTGGTTGCACGTGTTATGGTGTTGGTTGCACGTGTTATGGTGTTGGTTGGTTGCACGTGTTATGGTGTTGGTTGGTTGCACGTGTTATGGTGTTGGTTGGTTGCACGTGTTATGGTGTTGGTTGCACGTGTTATGGTGTTAGTTGCACGTGTTATGGTGTTGGTTGGTTGCACGTGTTATGGTGTTGGTTGCACGTGTTATGGTGTTGGTTGCACGTGTTATGGTGTTGGTTGCACGTGTTATGGTGTTGGTTGGTTGCACGTGTTATGGTGTTGGTTGCACGTGTTATGGTGTTGGTTGGTTGCACGTGTTATGGTGATGGTTGCACGTGTTATGGTGTTGGTTGCACGTGTTATGGTGTTGGTTGCACGTGTTATGGTGTTGGTTGGTTGCACGTGTTATGGTGTTGGTTGGTTGCACGTGTTATGGTGTTGGTTGCACGTGTTATGGTGTTGGTTGGTTGCACGTGTTATGGTGTTGGTTGCACGTGTTATGGTGTTGGTTGGTTGCACGTGTTATGGTAATGGTTGCACGTGTTATGGTGTTGGTTGCACGTGTTATGGTGTTGGTTGCACGTGTTATGGTGTTGGTTGGTTGCACGTGTTATGGTGTTGGTTGGTTGCACGTGTTATGGTGTTGGTTGCACGTGTTATGGTGTTGGTTGGTTGCACGTGTTATGGTGTTGGTTGCACGTGTTATGGTGTTGGTTGCACGTGTTATGGTGTTGGTTGGTTGCACGTGTTATGGTGTTGGTTGCACGTGTTATGGTGTTGGTTACACGTGTTATGGTGTTGGTTGCACGTGTTATGGTGTTGGTTTGTTGCACGTGTTATGGTGTTGGTTGCACGTGTTATGGTGTTGGTTGGTTGCACGTGTTATGGTGTTGGTTGCATGTGTTATGGTGTTAGTTGCACGTGTTACGGTGTTGGTTGCACGTGGTATGGTGTTGGTTGCACGTGTTATGGTGTTGGTTGCACCTGTTATGGTGTTGGTTGGTTGCACGTGTTATGGTGTTGGTTGCACGTGTTATGGTGTTGGTTGGTTGCACGTGTTATGGTGTTGGTTGCACGTGTTATGGTGTTGGTTGCACGTGTTATGGTGTTGGTTGGTTGCACGTGTTATGGTGTTGGTTGCACGTGTTATGGTGTTGGTTGCACGTGTTATGGTGTTGGCTGCATGTTGGTTGTTATGCTTTCTAGTCTTCGGTTGCTGTTAACCTTGTTCTTATTAGGGAACGTGGCGTTAGATATTTACATTGGGCATACTGTAAAAGGAAGGTGTCGCCGATGAAGTAGAATACACATTTTGAAAATGAAGACCATTGAAAAATTCCGCAAGAGTTGACGTTGGTGAAAAAATTGTTTTATCTTTCCATCAATATCTTATTCACAGACAGCGTGCTGGTGTAAATGATATAAATTTGCCCTATTGCCATCCATTACACGGGTCGCAGAACATAGAGAATAATTCTCACTGATGACCACGACAAAGATCGCGGATGGACAGTAAAAAATCTTCGGACAAGGTCAAATAAATAATACATGTATATATTTTCAGCAGTTGACACAAATAATCACAATATAACAACGTTCATGTAAAAACACCTGTTCGTAATGAGTTGAATAAGCGGAAGTACGATAGAAATCATTCTTTATCCTCTATACAATACTTCATTTGTGGATAAAGTAAGTTGTACATCTTCTGTATCTAATACTTTTGTATATAAAGTAACTTTTAAACACAGAATTTAAGGCTAAATTTGTATATAAAGTAGCTTTTAAATACAGAATCTAATGCTAAA